GCCCTCGGCCGCACGGCCGCCCGAGCGAGGGCGCGGGTCCCGGGCCGCCGCCGCGCTAACCCCGCCTCCCCTTCCCCCTCTTGTCGCCCCGCGCGCAGGGCTTCCTCAGCCGCCGCCTCAAGGGCTCCATCAAGCGCACCAAGAGCCAGCCCAAGCTGGACCGCAACCACAGCTTCCGCCACATCCTGCCGGGGTTCCGGAGCGCCACCGCCGCCGCCGCCTCCGCCGTGGACAATGAGAGGTGAGCCCGCCGCCGCCGCCGCCTGGCCCGGCCTCCCCGCGCCGCCGCTCCGGGACGCGCCCCTGGAGGGCGCGGGGACAAAGCGAGGAGCCCGGCTGGGGCACGTTCAGAGGGGGAGGGGACCCCACGCGGTCCTCCGGGAACTTGTGGGGCCGGCTCGGACTGGGGAGCGCCAAGAGGGGAGCCCTCCTCTCTCCCCCCGGGGCGAGGAGGGTGTGCCCGAGGGCCCCCAACGAGGCCGGGCGGGAAGTGCCCCGGCCGTCAAGTCTCGCCTTGCCTTGCGGAGGTGGGCATTGTTTCCCGAGCCGTGCGGTGCCCGGAGCTGGGGACGGAAGTGGTGCCGCCACCCCCAGGACCCCATCCCTTTGCCTTCTGGAGCCCAGATACAAAAGGCATTTCTGGCTGGGTTCTCTTGAGATCGGGCAGCGCCGCTGGTGAGGAAAAGGGCGAACATCTGGAGGGGAGGAGCAGGGGGCTGGGCTGCTTAGGGGGCACATCTGTTCTAAGTAGGGCACGTGCTTTGCTGGGGGCTGGGGTGAGCAGAGGGGGCAGTGCCCAGGCCCCGAGCTCAGGGGCATTGCCCGAGGCCGAGGAGAAACACCCTCCCCTTGCAGCCAGGGCAGCTGTTTCCTTCCCTCTCCCCTTCCACTCCCAGGGGTGTCTCTTACTCCCCCTCCTTCTCCTGGGCAAGTGGGGAGCAGGTGTGGAAATACCAGGGGGAGGTGTCTTGTGGGGCGGAAAAGAGAGGAGATGGTTCATCCTGCCGGGAGTCACCGCTGCTGAGCAGGCTTGAGCGAGCAAGGGCAAGCCATCCTGTCCACGCGGGGGCACCGGGCAGACACCTCCTCTGGGGGACCAGTACCTCCTCCCAGGCATCTTTTCACTTGGGCACCAGCACAGGGCTGGATTCCAGTGCCGGTTAGAACGTGTCCCTGCCCAGCTGATGGAGGTGAAAAAAATGGGCAGGGACCACGGAGCATGCACCCCTAGCATCTCAGGCGCCTGGCATGTGCCTTCAGAGGGCTGGTCTTTATGTACAGTTGGTGAGCTGGCACTCCCTGTAGGAGAGGTACAGGTAGAATGAAAATCTCTTCCCCTCCCCCTTGGCTTCAGCAGGCAGAGGAGTTCAAGTTATAGCCCAACTCCTGCCTGGGGTTGACTGACTGTTTAACTGACCCTAGCATCTTCTTGGAGTGTACCTTTCCCCAGCCCCGAGTAGAATTGCAAGACCTTTCCTTTCCACCACCCCAGAACTGCTTTTTCCAGTGCACCCTCACCGCTGCCTGCAGCTGGCTTTCTGGTCCAGCTGCCAAGCCCAGCCCCAGGCAAGAAAGACCCCCCAGCCTTTCTCAGATGGCCGTGATGCCCCAGGAGACCAGGCGTGCCCTGGCAAGAAGATGCAGCCAGGCCAGAGCTCAGCGCTGGGTGCAGCCTCTGCGTCTTTGAAAATCTCGCTTCCCATCTTTGTTATTGTCTGGGCGGTAGGCCATCTCGGTCTGCTGCCTTTCTCCCTCCGTCAGACCCCCACCTCCGATTCTCGCCCCCAGGAACATGCCCTTCTCTACGCTTTCCTTGGCGGGGGTCAGGACCCTCTGCACCCGCATGCGAGGGCTTGTGTACGTACCCCATTTTGTGTGCATGTGGCGGTTGTCCTGGGAGCAGGAGAAACAGCCAGCTATGTGGCCTCTGAGCGTGTCTGCCCTCCGGGGAGCAGGAGGCGTGCATGTCATGTTTACCTCCCTCCAGCGGGAAGCCTGTACCGGGAAGCCTGTACCAGGAAGCCGGCTGGCTCTCTGGGCTGGCAGCCCTGGCCGAGTTCGGGGCAGGGCTTAGATGACCCGTGGGTCCCACCCCAGCTTGGCTATAGGTCAGCCTTCCCATGCTGAGGGGCTCTGAGTGGGGGGTTGAGAATCAAACTACAAACTCGTTTCTGGAAGCTTGGATGAACAGTAGCGATTGGAGTAGAATGCCACTGGCAGCGGTGTGGAATTATCTTAATTTTCTAGAAACAAAATCTGGGTTGGTGGCTTATCTGGCATAAAAAGGCAGCCTAGATTTCCCATGGACAGAATGGGTTTGAAATCCTTCTCTCCAGTCCTGGACTAGGGTCTTCTGATTTGCTTCTTTGCTTAGCAATAGATACATTGGCAGCTGCTGTGATGGATGGAGGGGCTGATGTGTCTCCGGGGCCGTCCCTGGATTCTTATTTGGAGTTGCGTGAGTAAAACCAATGATGGTGGAATCCCTTGGTCCTAAGCTCTTGGTAAAACCAGGATGAGTGGAGAGAGCCCTCACCCTGCCCCCAGGTGATGCTGTGCTGTGCTGTGCTATGCCGTAGGAAGCTGAGGGGACAGACTGAGTTGCCTTTTTGCTTAGCAGTGAGGAGAAGGTTAAATCCTGTCTTCACGGGCCCCATGCTATGTGACCATGACTCTTAAGTGGTGAAGGGTAAGTGCACTGACAGCAGCCTTAAGTGAGTAAATGGGTAGAGTAATGAGAATGGGGGTCTTCATGGAAGAGGCTGAGAGTTTGAAGGTAGTTAAGAGGAGCTCTGATTTCCATGATCTCTGTATGGAGCTCCTGTGGGGTAGGAACTTGGGTTCTGACTTTGGATAAAAGCCTTTGTTGTATGCTGTCTGCATGCTCCACAGACTGCTCTGTTGGGAGGTGGGTTGGGTTGGAAAGTGTGTGTGTGTGTGTGTGTGTGTGTGTGTGTGTGTGTGTTCACGCACACACACATGCATGTGTGCTGCTCTCTCCAGAGATTGGAAGCCAGTTGGTTCAATGCTGAGGTCTTTCCTTTCTCTAGGAAAGGAGTCTGGCCTGAGTATGGAGATGATATACCTGGCTGGTTGGGGGAAGGGACTAATGTGAAGTGCGGGTCTAGGCTAGCTAGGGCTTGGTGGACATGGCTGGGTCTGGGAGCTCAGGGGTTGCAGACAGATTTGAACCTTTGCATTTGTATCCCTGAAGAAAAACAAAAAGGAGGGGGGGAAGCAAGCTTTCCAAGACTGCAGGGAGTTCCATTTGCTTTTATAATACCTGGGGTCCTTCAGACATGTATTTCTTCTTTGGAGTCTTTGGAAATGAAGCACCAAGGACAGGTAATCATTTCTCTTAGATAATAGAAATGAATGCCGCTTGGAGTGCTTCTAGGTGAAAGATGTGCTGGTAATGGCATTTTTGTTTTGTAGGCTGGAAATGTTACCACTTCATTTACAAGACTGTTTTAATGTTGGTATAAACGATATAAGACAGTAGCTAGGAGGGTCACTTGGCAATTATGTTTCCTTCATCTTCTCTCCTGATAATTGTTTCTGGGTGACATGTCCAGGGGTTATTTACCTCACCCCTGTAGTTAACCCTGAAGTGGCAATGCCCTCTTACCCATGATTTTCATTTACCCCGGGGTAGTAGAGATTATTGGAGAACCAACAGGACAACCAAGGTGTGAGTATACAAATTAAGTGTGGAATTAGAGATTGATTACCCCTTTTAGGGAATATGTGAGTTGCCTGGAGTTTCCCACACATGAACGTTGCTAATAATGGGATCCCAGGCACTTTTAAGACACTTGTTGGTTTTTATTATTAAAACCAACCTATAGGTGACCCTCCAGTAGGTTTGCAGAGTCAGGAAATTGCATGGGAGGAGATTATCCATCTTTCTCTCAGTGAATAGCTGGTGGATTCGAACTATGTGCTTTTCGGTTAGCAATGCTACAGCCTTTACCACTTAGCCACCAGAGCTCTCTTGGGAGCGAAGTATTTAGAAATTGGTTTCTTTTAGGAATCCTCAGCTGGCCCTGAGTTATACGGGAATCGATTCTGCTCTTTAGGTGAGGCAGTCCCAGGAGGGATAAGAAAAATCTTGATGGAAAATAAGGAGAAGGAAGGTGGGTCTGTTTTCTTTCTTGATTATTCATATTAGGTGCAGAAAAGGCTGGGCATTGAGGCCTAGCTTTTCTTCTCTAATTTACTATCCACAGAGAAGACTTGGTCCTTCTCCACCTTCCCTCAGGGCTAGTTTGTCAAGCATTGTGAGGTGATGTAGAGATGACTGTACAGTGTAGACAGTCTCTAGGACTAATGAGAAGTCTTTAATTGTTGGATTTGGAGCCATATATTCCCAGGGCAAGTCATTTAACTTTTCTAAGCCTCAGTGTGCACATCTGCAAAATGGGCATGATGAAAACAATGTTTAAAAATTAATATTTAATACTAATTTATGTATTTACTTGAAGAAGTCTTTGCTGTTTCCTTAAGCAACTAGCACAAGAGTCTTATAAATTTCTTAAATAATGAGTGAAAGGATCTAGACTAGCATGTTGTACATGTTCAATAAGTGGTAGTTAGCATTGGTAAGTGATGGTCAGTATGGAAGTATTGTTAAACCTCAGTAGTCTCAGCTATATAGTGTGGGAATAGTGGCAAGCACCCAGGCCATGTTATTCTGAGATTTAAGAGAGAGAATAGATGTTACTATGTGTCTTAAAATGAAAAGAGCTCCAAAAAGAGAGCCATTATTACCTTGAACACAAGAAATAGCTAAGCAAAATGCTCCTTGTTCATGTCTGCACTGAGAAAGCAAAACCTCTCCACTGTGTTTTTAAAATGTGAAAGTTCATTGTTCCATCTTATGCTTGTATTATTATTTTTTAAAGATAACTTAGATCATAGCTACCTTTTTTCCCCTATTAAAAATTATACTGGAATTTAAATCTTTGTGAATAGTCTTTGCCCATATCTCTGATTGTTCTCATAGGATAAAATTTTAGGAATGGAATTACTAGGTCAAAGATTTGTTACAGTTTGAGGCTTTTGATAAGGAGGCACCCTCCCCATTAGGCACAGTAATAATTTACACTCCTTCTATGGTAAATAAGTGTGCTTGCCTATTCATTTACACCATTAGAAACAATTGAGTGTTATATTTTAAAACCAATCTTTGTTATTTGGATAAACAAAAAAAGGCATTCCTTTGTTATTTACATATATTTG